AGTGGGGATAAAAAGTAATACGGCAGTAAATAGAAGGGATGTGTTTCTTTTTGCCTCATTCCTATTCGTGACCGATTTATGTATCACACACATTTTAATTATTTGCAGTTTTACAATTTAAATCTATTTGTTTGTTAGAGCTTTATGTTTTACGCAATACATTCACATGATATTTTAAATATTGCTTTCTTACATCTGTAGAACCATAGTGCCAAGTGGTGTTGCCATTCATTTTTGTGTTTGTTCTAACGGACATCAGAAAAGCCATGGTCATTCTTACCTTAACCTTCTGGACTCCAGAACTAGGACCAACATTAGGGAGTACGGCCATTTCTCTGGTAAATGGCCCAGTCAAACTATGTGGACCAGCTGGGGAGGTATAACTGTCTCCCCCTCCATGTGTGTAATTCTCTTCCCCCCAGCCCCTCCATGTGTCTCATTCCCTCAGACACATGTCGGAAGCTTTTTTGAAAGATACTAGGCATGTAAAAAAACAAACAGAACAAATTTCAAATCTGGCCAGATTTTTTTGTTGTTTTTTTTTTTGGTTTCAGCAGGTTTTGCACTAGCCTAGTCTCAATTATAAAGGAATTTCAGGGACTCCCGTTGAGTTTCCATTTGGGCACTAGAGCGGTCTGCCTATGAGTGGAGACATGTTATTGGCCTCTCTATTAACAGGAGAGAGAAGCAAGAAGCCATCTTGGTAGCATAGAGCGAGAGCACAGCAGCTCATATCCCTTGCCAAATGCTGTGGCTAGTTGATAAATTGTGAAGCTCCAAACTGCAGGACTAAGGAGGGGGGTTGATTCTGATAGTTTCATTTTTTTTAATTATTGTTGCTTCTGTGAAACATGTCAACTTCTTCTTGGCTCCATATTACCACAGCAGATTGATCACATTGCCAGTTGCAAAAGTAATAAGGAGTCTACTAGTATTTTGATGCTTTAACCTTGTGCAGCAAAATACTGGGAGCTAATAGTGAGTCAATGATAATTGATATGTTTCATAACAGCAGTAGCAGCAGCCAGGGCCGGACTGGGAAAAAAATTAGGCCCGGGCATTTTTCAATCAGAGCGGCCCCCTAAGAAGGGGGCGGGGCTAGAGAGGATGTATTTTGTCATCACTAATGACAACACGCCCCCTCTCAAAGTGAGCATGTTGGTTCAATGCGCAGAGCCCCGCTGAAGAGCTCTGGCATTAGAAAAAGGCCCTGAATTTGTTCTGCGCAGCGCAAGCAAATGTAATAACATGCTTGCGCTGTGTTTGCTTTTAAATTGTCTCTGGTGTCTCCACAAGTGGGATACCAGAGGACAAAAGGGCCAGGAAAGTGCATGGTGCATATGTTTGGAGCCTGCTTGTGGGATTGCGTGTGTGTAGAGTGTGGTGTGGTATTGTGTAAATAGGTCAATTTCATTTGTGTTTGTGGTGTAATATGTGTGGCTAGGGGCTGTAGAGAGTGTGTGTATAGGGGGCATAGTTTTATAGGGGATGCAGCGAGTGTGTGCATACGGGCTGAAGTGTGTGTGTGTATAGGTGACGTAGTGTGTGTAGGGGTTGCAGAGAGGGTGTGTTTAGAGAATGTTGTATGTGTTTGCTTACAAGGAATGTAGTGTGTGTGTGTAGGAGATCTACTGTGTAAAGGACCCAGTGTGTGTGTGTGTGTGTAGATGATTAAGAGTGCATATAGGGTAAGGGATCTAGTGTGTATCTGGAGCGTAATGTGTGTAGTGGTGCAGTGTGAGGGGTGCTGTAGTGTGTGTGTGTGTGTGTATATATATATATATATATTTGGACATATTGTATGTGTGAGGGGCGCAGTGTGTGTATGTAAGAGGGGTGCTGTATGTGAGGGTGTTTTTATCTGTTGTCACATTCTAGGTTTCTTATTTTCTTTTTCTGTTAACTCACTGAGGGTTATTTTATATATATATATATATATATATATATGTGTGCTGTATATGTGTGGGAGTGTGCTGTGTGTGGGAGTGAGGGTGCTGTGTGTGTCTGTGGGTGCTGTGTGTGTCTGGGGGTGCAGTGTGAGTTTGGGTGCTGTGTCTGGGGGTGCTGTGTGTGTCCGGGGGTGCTGTGTGTCTGGGGGGTGCTGTGTCTGGGTGCTGTGTGTGTGAGTGAATGTATTTTTTATTTAAATATATATTTTTTATTAATAATAAAAACAAATGATACTTTTTATTTTTTATTAAAATGCTCTTTTTATTGTATCTCTGTATTAGGCTCAGCGTTGTGTATTGTATGGGTATCACTATGCTATGTTCAGTTCCATGTACTGAATTCTTTGTAATGCAAGGCTATCTCTGTATTGTATTTGACTGTGTATTGAATGGGTATCTCTGTATTGCATGCAGCTCTGCCCATTGTATGGGGACTACCATCAGAAGATGGTGGCTACAGAGTTTATGGGTAAAATCACATTAAAAGGTAGGAATCTAGCATTCCAACAGTTTAAAACTTCACCAGCCACCACTGCCCCTAAGCAGAATGGTTTGTAGATTTGCAGTAAACCAGACCTCTTGCTTGATGGTGCCATCTGCTCCACTCTTCTCCTGTATGACAATGCTGGGAGGAAGTGACATCATAACACATTTCACAGCACACGAAGGGAGCCACACGGGAAGCTATGTAGCCCTCCGCCTGCAGCACAGTTAAGACTCCACTGGACCCCACCTTTCTGAAACAGTAGGGTGGCTGAAACCAAATGTATTTAAATATGTTTGTGTGAGTGTATGTGTGTAGCTTCTGTAAAAGGAACCAAGAATACTCATGGCAGCCCTGTCCACAACACTACTCAGACTGCATAATATTTTTGAGCTGTTATACACCATCTACTCCAAAATAATATTCCTATACACTGAACAACCACAACATTAAAACCACCTGCCTAATATTGTGTAGGTGCCCTCGTGTTGCCAAACAGCTCTGATGCATTGAGGCATAGACCCCACAAGACCACTGAATGTGTCCTGTGGTATGCGGCACCAAGATATTAGCAGCACATCCTTTAAGTCCTGCGAGGTGAGGTCTCCATAGATTGGATTTTTTTGTTCCAGCACATCCCACAGATGCTCAATCAGAACACTCTTCTTGAAAACTTGTAATCTCTAACCCTAATTATCTCCTAACTAAAAAGGTCCCTAAACCCTTGCCTAAATCCACAGCATTGGATAAACTATTATAAGCTCAAATTTGGCTAACCTAACTTGGAAAATAAAGTTTGGAGTCCTCAGACATATGCATAGAATGAATGCATTTCTATGAGGAACGTTCAGCTCCTCCATGCAGAACGTGGAGATGCTGAACGTCAGTGCTGTGCATTGAGACAGTCATCAGCAGTGTTACTATATACCGCAGTAATGTAAACAGCGCCATTTCTCTGAAAAGCCAGCGCTTACATTAAAAAGACAGCAGGGACTGATTTTACACACCATTAAGCTGTAGTTGTTCTGGTGACTATAGTGTCCCTATATCCTTGTGCGGTTAAGTATAACAGACCCCAGTATTTGTGGCATCTGTAGAAATGACCAGTTGATAACTTGCTTCCATTTTACTCTATTATGCAAAACATAAGCTACTCCATACAGTTACTTATATCATTGCTATACACTTACCTCTTTCCCATGCCCTTGGTTTATTACACTGTCCACTGACTCCTCTTTTGGTAGATCATAAAGTTAGAGATTGTATCAATGGAAGCTCCAGACACGCTACGTGCAATTTGTGGTAACAACTTTGTAATGTATTAGTGGTTGTATTAAATGAGACCCATTTTTAGCATAATACATTCTTAATCAAAATATTGGGTATATTTTTTGGCTTATAATATCTGTCATATTTAGTGGACCATGCTTCAGTGAAGGGGGGTTCTTACATAGACTTTGGAAACAAGACTAATACATTATTATTTGTCATTCTTTTTCTCATTCCTCTATATGTATTACTTGATTGTTGGCTAACCTTGGCTATCAGCTGAGTTTTAACAGCAGGGAATGACAAATTTAATTTAGATTGAAGACCATCATTTTAAACAGATTTCAATACTTTTATTATTTAGAAAAGAAAATCTTTGTAGATCTGCTTTAAAACTTAAAGACTTGAAGAAAGTGAAACCTCTGCTCTCTAAGATCAAGAAACCCAGTTTAAAAGTAAATATAAATAGATTACACATTGCAGTCGGTGGATGTGACAAGGCTCTTAAAATATGTGACCATTACACGGCCATTGTTTTTCTTATCTATGCCCAGAGATCGGAGCTAGACACAGCATTCATCACAGAGTATAGCAAATGATTTGTATTTATTGATGTTTACTGAACTTTCAATGGATCCCAGGGGATAGTAGATATTTTGGTTTGTTTTTAATACATGCAAACAAATAAAATAAATACACTTGCCTAAAAGGTAGGTTTTAAAAGGTATATTTTTATGGTTTGGTTTTATATTCCATACCATTTTGCGTATAGTCTAGGCTGCTTTTTTGCTCTGTTTGAATAGGAAAAAATAAATAAATACAAAAAAATCACTTTGACAAGCCATAAGCTTTGTATTTCATAAAAAAGCAGTTCACATTATAAGTCTGATCCAAAACTCCATTGATGTACTATCACAAAAGTGATGCAAAAACAGGATAATAAAGTACCATATGAGCTATATATGAGTGACTTATTTTCAGAATTATTACACATCTAATGTAGGCTTCAATGAAGGGTTGGCTGGTGAAAGCTTAGTTGTTTGAATTACTAAGTTATGGTACATTTTGATAAAGAAATACCCTAAAATAAATAGAACTATGCACTTACTCAAGAAGTTATCACATAGCACTTTAATATCTCCCAGTGTTAATCCTTTGTTGTCGTCTTTAATGTGTTTCATTTTGTTTCCTGTGGTTACAATGGTACCTGCTCACAATGCAAATACTGCCTTTTCTCCACTATTGGGAGTCAATCCACTCAACTCTGGAGCCCTGGATTCTGATTGGCTGCTGGCACCCCACAGCCAGGAGAATGTTTAAACTCCTTTTTAACATAGTAGTAAGGATTATAATGAAACACTAAAAGGGCCATATACACAGTGAAAACAGTCATATAGCCAAATCGCAATTACTGCTAAATGTATTATACCTTGGTTAGATAAAAACAAAATATGCTGTACGATTGTTCTAAACAAACATGTTCATACTTTTAATTTATGCAAATGTGTTGTAACAAATAGTAAGTGCCTACTCACTAAACAGTAAATATGGAAGCAAATACAGGGTATGCATTTATTGTCTATCCATCCCAAATGTATATGCTAGTCACATATCTGTTGATGTTAGCTTTACTTTCAAAGTAGTGAGGAGAGTTGATCCTTAATTTGAAAACACATTGACTATTCGAGAACAAATATACTAGATATGTGTGTAACAGTGTTAATTTTGTCGACTAACAATTTTTGTCAAATTTTAGTCGGCTAAAATATTTGCGATTTAGTCGACTAAAACGAAAACAATTCATATGACTAAAATACAACTAAAATTAAATTACTTTTAAGTCAAAAGACTATGACTAAAACTAAACTGAAAATTGTCTGCAAAATTAAAGGACCACTATAGTGCCAGGAAAACATACTCATTTTCCTGGCATTATAGTGCCCTGAGGGTGCCCCTACCCTCAGGGTCCCCCTCCCGTCCAGCTCTGGAAAGGGGAAAAGGGGTAAAACTTACCTTTTTCCAGCGCTGGGTGGGGAGCTCTCCGCCTCCGATCCTCCCCGTCGGCTGAATGCGCACGTGCGGCAAGAGCTGCGCGCGCATTCAGCCGGTCGGATAGGAAAGCATTATTAATGCTTTCCTATGGACGCTTGCGTGCTCTCACTGTGATTTTCACAGTGAGAATCACACAAGTGCCTCTAGCGACTGTCAATGAGACAGCCGCTAGAGGATTTGGGGGAAGCCTTAACCCATTTATAAACATAGCAGTTTCTCTGAAACTGCTATGTTTATAAAAAAATGGGTTAACCCTAGCTGGACCTGGCACCCAGACCACTTCATTAAGCTGAAGTGATCTGGGTGCCTAGAGTGGTCCTTTAACACTGCACAGAGGGGCTGTGGAATGGGCAAGAGACCAGGGCTTAACAATAACAATTCTCAACAATGCCCTCCATGTCATGCTCTCCTGCTAACAAGACCCTATCAGCACCTATGGAAGTTATACTTTTCATCAGGGCCGATCCTGGGGTCACTGGCGCCTGGGCGCAAGATTATTTTTGGCGCCCCCCCTTCTCTGCTGTGGGTGTGGCTATATAGCTAAATCCTCCCCTTTACAAACACAACACTTTTAACCACACCCATTTTCTATGGAAACCACTACACCCCCAACCCAGGTCACAAGTCACCCACTTCCTACAGTGCCAGCTTTGCCCCCAAAAAGCATATTAGTGCCATGTTTGTGCCCAGCTTCCCAGTGCCACCTCTGTCGTCCCCATACAGCTTTGCCATGCCATCTTTGTCTCAATATAGCTAATCAGTGCCATCTCTCTGTCTCAATATAGTTAATTATTGCCATCTTAGTCTCAAAATATCTTTGTCCACATCTTATGTGCCACTTTTGTGTCCAAATAGCTTAATAGTGCCATTTTTGTACCCAAATCGCTGACCACTGTCATTGTTGTCCCAAAATTGCTAATCAGTGACATTTCTTTTTCCAAACAGCTTACCAGTGCCATCTTGTCCTCAGAGAGCTTGTCAGCTAGTAGTGTTTTTGTATGGACTGTGTGTAAGCTGGCTGTGTTTTGCAGAGAGTCAATGTATTTGTAATGCAGAAATTTATTTACAGATGTGTGTGTATTCAAATAAATATTTGTGTATACTATTAATGTGTACAGATGGAGTTATTGAATATTTGTATGAAATGTGTAAGAATGTATTTGTAATGTGTGTGTGTGTATGTTTGTATATACGAGTGTCCTTCACTGGATATTACTGTGTGTGCATGCATTGTTGTTTTCAGCAGTATATATACAGTTGCAAGAAAAAGTATGTGAACCCTTTGGAATGATATGGATTTCTGAACAAATTGGTCATAAAATGTGATCTGATCATCATCTAAGTCACAACAATAGACAATCACAGTCTGCTTAAACTAATAACACACAAAGAATGAAATGTTGCCATGTTTTTATTGAACACACCATGTAAACATTCACAGTGCAGGTGGAAAAAGTATGTGAACACTTGGATTTAATAACTGGTTGAACCTCCTTTGGCAGCAATAACTTCAACCAAACGTTTCCTGTAGTTGCAGATCAGACGTGCACAATGGTCAGGAGTAATTCTTGACCATTCCTCTTTACAGAACTGTTTCAGTTCAGCAATATTCTTGGGATGTCTGGTGTGAATCGCTTTCTTGAGGTCATGCCACAGCATCTCAATCGGGTTGAGGTCAGGACTTTGAGCCACTTCAGAAGGCGTATTTTCTTCTGTTTAAGCCAATCTGTTGTTGATTTACTTCTATGCTTTGGGTCATTGTCCTGTTGCAACACCCATCTTCTGTTGAGCTTCAGCTGGTAGACAGATGGCCTTAAGTTCTCCTGCAAAATGTCTTGATAAACTTGGGAATTCATTTTTCCTTTGATGATAGCAATCCATCCAGGCCCTCACGCAGCAAAGCAGCCCCAAACCATGATGCCCCCACCACCATACTTCACAGTTGGGATGAGGTTTTGATGTTGGTGTGCTGTGCCTTTTTTTCGCCACACATAGTGTTGTCTGTTTCTTCCAAACAACTCAACTTTGGTTTCATCTTTCCACAGAATATTTTGCCAGTACTTCTGTGGAACATCCAGGTGCTCTTGTGCAAACTGTAAACGTGCAGCAATGTTTTGTTTGGACAGCAGTGGCTTCCTCTGTGGTATCCTCCCATGAAATCCATTCTTGTTTAGTGTTTTACGTATTGTAGATTCGCTAACAGGGATGTTAGCATTTGCCAGTGACTTTTGTAAGTCTTTAGCTGACACTCTAGGATTCTTCTTCACCTCATTGAGCAGTCTGCGCTGTGCTCTTGCAGTCATCTTTACAGGACGGCCACTCCTAGGGAGAGTAGCAGCAGTGCTGAACTTTCTCCATTTATAGACAATTTGTCTTACCGTGGACTGATGAACAGCAAGGCTTTTGGAGATACTTTTATAACCCTTTCCAGCTTTATGCAAGTCAACAATTCTTAATCGTAGGTCTTCTGAGAGCTCTTTTGTGCGAGGCATCATTTACATCAGGCAATGCTTCTTGTGAAAAGCAAACCCAGAACTGGTGTGTGTTTTTTATAGGGCAGGGCAGCTGTAACCAACACCTCCAATCTCATCTCATTGATTGGACTCCAGTTGGCTGACATCTCACTCCAATTAGCTCTTGGAGATGTCATTAGGCTAGGGGTTCACATACTTTTTCCACATGCACTGTGAATGTTTACATGGTGTTTTCACTAAAAACATGCCAGCATTTAATTTTTTGTGTGTTATTAGCTTAAGCAGACTGTGATTGTCTATTGTTGTGACTTAGATGAAGATCAGATCACATTTTAGGACCAATTTGTGCAGAAATCCATATCATTCCAAAGGGTTCACATACTTTTTCTTGCAACTGTATATATATATTTTTTTCTAAATATCCCTGAGTGACATCTCACTATTCTCTTCCACTTTTGGCTCTATCTCATCCCCTGGGCGTTGCTATGTGGACCAGGGACATAAGCCCAAAAATACATTTGATAACCACTCCTATAGTTGACATAAAAGGACCACTATAGTGTCAGGAAAACAAACCCATTTTCCTGACACTATATAATCCTTACGTTCCCCTACCCTCAGGGCCCCCCTCCACTTACTTTTATCCAGCGCCGGGCTACCTCGGCACTGGTGACCTTTCCTCCCCCTCTGATGTCAGCTCCCGAGTGGAGCTAAATGCGCATGCGAGGCCAGAGCCGCGCGTGCATGAAAAACGCCCATAGGAAAGCATTTCTCAATGCTTACCTATGGATGTTCTGCGTGCTCAATGCGATTTTCGCATTGAGCGTCAGGGAACCGCCTCTAGCGGCTGTCAGGAAGACAGCCACTAGAGATTGGATTAACCCTGCAATGTAAACATAGCAGTTTCTCTGAAACTGCTATGTTTACATCTGAAGGGTTAAAACCTGGGGGACCTGGTACCCAGACCACTTCATTGAGCTGAAGTGGTCAGGGTGACTATAGTGGTCCTTTAATGGTACCGCCCCTCTTCACCACAAGCATGCACACCAAAACACAACCACATCCATTATGCTGTGCAATGTGTGTAGTGAATAGTGTCTGAGCGTGTGCTGGGGATGCAGGTTGTGTCTGTGTGTACGGGATGCAGTGTGTGTCTAGTCTGTGCAGGGAACGCAGTTTGACTCTGTGTGTGTGCAGGGAACGCAGGGTGTATCAGTGTGCAGGGGATGTAGTGTGTGTTAAAATGTAAAAAACACCCACAATTGTTTTAAAATGTTTTCAAGAAAATGAATTCCACAAATGTGTAAACTGTATGTTAAAGTTCCACTATAGTACCAGGAAAACAAACTCGTTCCCCACACCCTCAGAGCCCCCCTACCGCTGGGCTGAAGGTGTTAAAACCCCTTCAGCCACTTACCTTAATCCAGCGCCGGGCTCACTCGGAAAGGGGGCCTCTCCTCCCCCTCCGACATCAGCTCCCAAGTGGAGCCAAATGCGCATGCGCGGCCAGAGCCGCGTGCGCATTCAAAACGCTCGTTGGAAAGCATTACTCAATGCTTTCCTATGGACGTTCTGCATGCTCAATGCGATTTTCGCATTAAGGGTTGCAGAAGCGGCCTCTAGTGGCTGTCAGGGAGACAGCTACTGGAGGCTGGATTAACCCTGCATTTTAAAGCTTATGTTTACAGCTGCAGGGTTAAAGCCTGGGGCACCCAGACCACTTCATTGAGCTGAACTTGTCTGGGTGACTATAGTGGTCCTTTAATAAAAGTCCCATCAAGGTCCCATTAGAGACTATAATGGAGTCTAAAGAGCCTGGGAGATTGTTTTCTCTAAAATGCTGGCCCACATTCACAATATAGTGATATAACAAAGCTCTGTAATACCCAGCTCAATCTGTCTCTTCTCACCTTAATTACTGTTGCTGGCTAGCTGCTGTGACTGGTTGGCAGGCAGGCTGGCTGCTTTGGCTAGCTGGCTGGCTGACAACTGTGGTTGGCCTCTTTCTTCCACCAGCAGGCATCTATTTCTAATCCCTTTTGTGTGTCTCTTCCCCCCCCTCCCTTTTGTGTGTCTCCTCCCCCAGCCCTTCTGTGTGTCTGTTCTTCCCTGCAGCCCTTCTGTGTTCCTCTTTGTCTCCCCCAGCCCCATTGTGTGTCTGTTTCTCCCTTAGCTCCTTTGTGTGTCTTTTTCCCCTTGCCCTTGCCCCTCTGTGTCTCTTTGCCCTCCAAGTGCTTCTATGTTCCGCTTTGTCCCACCAGCCCTTCTATGTGTCTCTTTGTGCACCAGCACCTCTGTGTGTCTCTGTCTCCCCTCAGCCCCTTTTTGTGTGTCTTTGGCCCGTGTCTTTAGACCCTTCCCCTTCTGTGCCCTCTTTAGCCTCTCTCCCCTCCTGTGCCCTCTTTAGCCTCCTCCCTTCTTATGCATTATTTAGCCCCCTCCCCTCTTTAGCCCCTCTACTGTATTGTCCGCTTATGTAGCCCCTCTGTAGCCCCACTTCTCCCCTTTCCCCTTATGTAGCACTTCTCCTCCCCTCTTTAGCCCCTTCCTTCTTATGCCCTCTTTTTAGCCCCCTTCCCTCTTGTGCTCTTATTTTGGCCCCTCCCTGTCCTGTGCCCTTATGTAGCTCCCCTTCCCTCCTGTGTAGCCCCTTCCTTCCTGTGCTCATTTAGCCACCTCCTTTTCCCTCTTGTGCCCTCTTTAGCCCCTTCCCCATCTGTACCCTCTTTAGCCCCCTCCCTTCTGTGCTCTTCTTTTGGCCCCTCCCCTTCCTGTGCCCAGGGCCGATGCAAGGATTTGTGCCACCCTAGGCCAAAGAAAAATCCCCCCCCCCATGTGACATCCCATTGCCCCACCCATATGATCTGCCATATGAACTAACACCAGTGCTGCAGTGTTTACATTAAAAAGCCTGTAGGGACAGGCTATAGGCACCAGAACCACTTCATTAAGCTGCAGTGGTTCTGGGGACTATAGTGTCCCTTTAATGTGAAATAAATTAGATTAGTGTCACTAATAATATACTAGATTGCCTACTTACAACCAGATGAGGATGGTGATGGGCTCTGGCTGCAGTCTGGCTCCACTGGTCTGGTGTAGAATAGGATCTCT